GAAAACAGGCTGCCAGGGTGGCTAGGACGGAATAATTTCTTAAGATAGCACACTGTGCAAATCTAGACATGAAATGAAAAAGTACATCTCATAAAGCTCTGATTTTGTTTTAGGTGGTCAGCATTTAATTAAAAGCTTTAAAATTATATCAAAGGGGAACTGTTTTTAGTTTTTAGCAAAACATTGTCGCATTTTTCCTTTAAAATGATGCCTTAAATTTGACAAGTAGTTCATGAAGAAGAGTTGAAAATGAAATGATTCTGCGCCTGTCTTTTAGAGTTAAAGTACTTGCTGATGTCTTAATGATCTACATACTGCTAGAGCAAATAGGCCCTAGATCTCTGCTGTGTTAAGGGGTCCCTCCCTCATTCCTGTGCTTGGAAAGAAAGGCAGTGTTTCTCTTCGTGCTTTGGCGTTGTGGCCTGCCACGAACAAAGATGGGTTCATCCTTGGACTGTGGATTCTCTGGCCTTGAGGTCACTTGACAATCTGTTAATCCCAAAACCTCTTATCTGGTCTCTCTTCCATCTCCTTACATCTTTTCCTTCTCTACTCTGCCTCTCCCCCAAGTAAGAAAAACCAGTTGGTCTCACTTGATTTTGATTTTTAAAACTATGAATCATATAAGATGCTTTGATTTGAAGAAAGGCTCAAATAAAACCATTGAAACCATGACAGTTGATCCTACTGCAAAAACTTTAGAAAGTCACTCTGCCCTATAGAACTTGGTGCCAGACTTCTACTGAGTGAATTTAATCACCAGTTCCAGCAAAATAATAGAAGGTAGTCTTTTCATTAAAATGCTTGGGTTTGAACATTTTAAGTGTTTTATACTTTCTCTGAACCCAGTAGAACTGGTTTATAAGTCTGGAGTACTTGGTGCTACTCATCTTTTAATTAATAGGACTGCCAGTTATTTTTAAGGGAAATCAATACTTATCATAATATCTTGCATTTCACTTAACAGGGTAAATCTTATTCTCATTGTGTAAATAACAATTCCCAATGTAAAGGGTTACACCTCACTGAACTCTGCTTACAAATGGGAAAACATCAAGTAACTGACTCACTGACCTCAGCATCGAATGGGAAGGAAAGAATTCATCTGCACTCAGATGTGATTTATCATTCATGCTCAAGACCAGCACCCCACGATGGGTTGGTCAGCAGTCAGGATGTTCACGGTAGCTTGACAGACTGAATTTTTGTTTCATTAATGTTTATTCTGTTACAGTAGCTCATTCTTTGAATGCTCTTAATCACTCTGGGAAATCACTCAGGACATGGTGAGAGGGCCTAGATTTTAGATCTGTACTTCAAGATCTGGGAGGAAGGATCAGTCAATTGACCCTCGTCAATCTTGAGCCAATCCTTTAAATAAGATAAAAATAAATTACTTTAAAAAGAAATGATCATGCCTTTAGTTGTTAACAGCAGTGTCACCTTGTCCTAAAGGTTTCCAAAGGGTTACTCTCGATTACTTGCAGACTGGTTTTAGGGAAAAAAAAAAATAGCCCTCAGACTGACCCTAGTCCTTTCTGAGTAGCATACAGATCACTCATGAAATTCTTGCCTTAACAGAACAGTCTTAAGCCACTGTTCGACAATCACGGCACCAGATCATGCTTCTTTCTGTCACAAAGATCTTCAGGAAGAAAGAACCTGAAGATCTTTTTTTTTCCTTTGATGATTTCTAACTCCCTTCAACCAGTTTAACCGGAGGACATGCTCAAACTGATACTCAATCCTAGCACTGAGCTTCCAGTCTCATTCTGTTGCATTAGAAAGTCAACTTTGTGTCTTGCTGCAGTTTCTCTGTGAATGTGATGGTGTTAGGTCATCTTGATGAAGGAAGGCTTCTTGGGAAAGAACTTTGGTGGCATTTCACATTGCTGGGATTCAGAGGGTACCAATGTACGTAATGTAGGTATTTGTCCTGTTCCCAAGCACATTTGTTTACAAAAATGTTTGTTGTCCTTCTATGTAAATGTAAACAGAAGCTTCTGTTACCATTATCAGTGAGGCTTCTCTGTCATCTTTCAGGCTGCCAGCGAGGTTCTAAATCTTGCTTATCTGGACCTCTTCCACCAGAAGTAAGTGATTTAACCTAATAATCTCCATTTTAGTGGAGACAGCTACGCAGGACTGAAAAAGAGCCTGAAAGGCAGTGGTTTTAGAAATAGCAGGCACAGTGGCGGGCCCGGAGAAAAGAGAAAGTATATGGGACTGCTGTGTACTGTCGAGGGGGATGGACAGGAGATGCCTCGGGTGGGTTTGATCAGCTGCTGTGGTGTCTCGGGCCTCCTTTAACACCAGAGGCTGCCAGCTCTGTCAGTACACAACCGACATGGAGACTTAGGTGCAGGCGACCTGGGAGGAACCTGAGGAAGAAATGGCTGGATATGACTCAGACTGGTTTCCTTAGTGAAAGGCTCCACAAAGGAACAAACAAGAGAGTGGATGTGATGGTAAAAGAATGGTGTAGAAAAGGACACTGCAGTGCTCTAGAGACCAGCCTTCCTCAGGAGACGTCCTGCTCCTTGTCACAGACTCAGTGAGCCCCCCGGGAGATGGCATCATGCAGGACAATCAGGACACTCAGTGAACTTGGAGTCAGAATTCTGGGTTCAAGTCCTGAACCCCAGGTTAGCATCTTAGCAACCTGACGCCATCTCCCCTTTCTCCACCAGCCATGTCTCATCTGTTAAATGCATGCTGAACTCTGGGAGCTGTTGTGAGGTTCAAATGAGATAACTTGTACAAAATCACAATTGATGTCTCTACTTATGTATAATCCTAACACTCTATTTCCCTATTCCAAAAAAGGATGTAACAGAGACCAGTTGCTATAAGCAACACTTTAAGAAATGGCTACTGCAGGATTCCAGGATCATCTGGAGTCCCCAAGCACACACATCATTATATGACAGTTCTGAACAGAGAGCTGCATAAAAGTATTGGATCTGAAGGCTAATTTTATCTACAGATGAGGGAGGAACATCTGTGTTGGGCAGTTTACGTAAGACTAGACGCCTATACATATATTGAATGATAGAATGCTAGGAACAAGCCTTATAAGGAATAGCCTATAACCAGTAGAGCTTTTTTTTTTTAAGTAATTTAAATTTAAATTTGTAAATTTAAATTTGATACTTGTAAAGACAAGTAGTGCCTTATTACCATATTAGTTGTCATGATTCAGACGACACACGTCTGGTCCGCAGAGAATTTCATATCGAAGGCTGAGTAGAGAACTGTCTACGAGAGAGAATTCTCCATTGCAGAAACAATAGTTTCCTTTAGCCTGCTTCCCCTAACGTAGTGTGTCACAGACACATAGTAGAGTCGGTGAAACCAAGAAATGAGGATTGATACCGTGCTACTAACTACTCTAGAGACTCTATTCAAATTTTGCCAGCTTTCCTGCTAATGTTCTTTTTCTGGTCTGGAATCCTTGTAATCTCACGTTACATTTATTTGTCCTGTCATCTCGGTATCCTCCAATCTGTGACTGTTCTTTGGTTTCTGTGGGGTTTTTAAGTCTTCCCTGACCTTTAACACTTCAAAGAATTACTTGCAACTACTTTGCGAAATGCCCTTTAATTTCAGTTTATCTGATGTGTTCTCATAATTAGACGGAGGTTATACATTTTTGAGCAAGAATGCCGCAGAAGCGGAGATGGGCCCTCCTCATGAGGTACACGATGGTCTTTACCACTGGTGATGTTCACTTTGATAACTTGGTTAAGGTGTGGTGTCTGCTAGGATTCTCCACTATACTGTTATGATTTTCTTCTTCGTAATAATAAGGTTCTTGTTTTGTTTTTTAAGATTTCATGCTTTCTCAAATTGACAGCCAAAGGCTGGAGCAAGTGCTGTTCACAGAGGGCTCCAAGCGTCCTGTCCTGGTGGGAAGCAGCTGTGCCCTAGAAAATGATGGAGTCATTATCTACGTGTTTGAATAGATTCCTCTCATTCCGAACTGAAATGGATTGCCTGACATTACATTGCAGGATTTTTAAGTCCTACCTCCAGGCGTATCTCATAGTTACTAGCAAAAATGAAAGTGTGAAATGCTTTTTAATGTATATTTAACAACACATAGTCTGGTGATTACTGATGTGTATTCTCTGCGGACTCCCTCTGCTATCAAGAGGAGGATGTTAAGAGACAACATTTTTACACATTTATTCTATCTAAACTCATCACATGTTTACTTTCTACATATCTATATAACTGTCATTTATAACAAGATCATAAAAAGTCAACTACTCTAAGTCTAACTCAAACTTTGAATCCTAGATTACAATTTTCAGAAAAAGGACAATACTGTTTTTCCTTACACTATTACGGAATTGCCTCCTGTTAAATGACACTAAAATGTAGCCCTTAAAAAGGGAAAAAAAAATTTAGCTTAGCAGTTCGAGTATGGGGGTGGGTAATACTACTTTATTCATCTTTTTGATTCAGAAATTCACTTAATAGCTCCTATTTAAAGGAAGTTTCATCATTGAATCCAGTGTCATGTCTGCTTGTGTTGAAGAAGTAAAATTCGAAAAATGTACTTAATTCCTTCCTATGGTGTCACTATTTGATAAGGATTAAGGTACTTTTTTTTTTTGCATTTATACTGGGTTTGCACAGCGAGATCTCACGTCTTGTACTAATAAGTGCTGAATAGTCGCGTTGTCTATAGACCGTTGTTGTCAAAGTAGCAGTAGCCTAGGCGTCTTAGATCACAGAGCCCAGTGGTCTACATTTTGTTTGCTTTGAGATTATTAAACTCAATCTGTTTCTCTAACTGTGACTCTAATGACTACATTTGCATGGCAGAAAAGTGTGCTTTGTGGGTCGACTTTTATTAACAGTGCTTGCATGTTGTTTTCTGCTCTCGCTCCCGTTTCACAAGCAGACGGAGCACCTTCGGTTGCACTGACTAGTTACGCACAATCAATAAGGTTTTGTGTTTGTCTTTGTTGTTTCTCTGATGTGGCCTCTAGGATGCTGCCGGCAAGGTGCTGGACCGCTGGGCCATCATGTCTCGAGAAGAGGAAATCATCACCCTGCAGCAGTTTCTGCGGTTTGGAGAAACCAAATCCATTGTGGAGCTGATGGCGATTCAGGAGAAAGAAGGGCAGGCCGTAGCTGTACCGTCCTCAAAGACAGACTCAGACATCAGGACTTTCATTGAGAGCAATAATCGCACCAGGAGCCCCAGCCTCCTTGCTCATCTGGAGAACAGCAACCCTTCCAGCATTCACCACTTCGAAAACATCCCCAACAGCCTCGCGTTTCTGCTTCCATTCCAGTACATAAACCCCGTTTCAGCCCCACTGCTAGGACTGCCTCCAAACGGGCTACTGTTAGAGCAACCAGGACTCAGGCTGCGGGAACCCAGCCTGTCAACCCAGAACGAATATAATGAGAGCAGTGAGTCTGAGGTCTCTCCCACGCCTTACAAGAACGACCAGACACCGAACAGAAACGCCCTGACCAGCATTACGAACGTGGAGCCCAAAACCGAGCCAGCTTGCGTGTCCCCCATTCAGAATTCCACCCCAGTCAGTGATCTGACCAAAACGGAGCACCCGAAGAGCTCATTCCGGATCCACCGGATGAGGAGGATGGGGTCAGCCTCTAGGAAGGGAAGAGTGTTCTGTAACGCATGCGGGAAGACGTTCTACGACAAAGGTACCCTCAAAATCCATTACAACGCCGTTCACCTGAAGATCAAACACCGGTGCACCATCGAAGGTTGCAACATGGTCTTCAGCTCCCTCCGGAGCCGTAACCGCCACAGCGCGAACCCCAACCCTCGCCTTCACATGCCTATGCTAAGGAATAACCGAGACAAAGATTTAATTCGGGCCACGTCAGGGGCTGCCACCCCCGTCATAGCAAGTACAAAGTCGAATCTCACACTCACAAGCCCCGGCCGGCCCCCAATGGGTTTTACCACTCCCCCACTCGACCCCGTCTTACAGAATCCGCTCCCTAGCCAGCTGGTGTTTTCTGGGCTAAAGACTGTCCAGCCAGTTCCTCCATTCTATAGAAGTTTACTCACGCCGGGGGAAATGGTGAGTCCCCCAACCTCCCTCCCGACCAGCCCCATCATCCCAACCAGTGGGCCCATGGAGCAGCACCCCCCACCACCCTCTGAGCCAGCAGCGCCAGTCGTGATGATGGCCACTCATGAGCCCAGTGCCGACCTGGCGCCCAAGAAGAAGCCCAGGAAGTCCAGCATGCCTGTGAAGATCGAGAAGGAAATTATCGATACCGCCGACGAGTTTGACGATGAAGACGATGACCCCACCGACGGCGGCGCTGTGGTCAACGACGTGAGCCATGACAATCACTGCCACTCCCAGGAGGAGATGAGTCCGGGCCTGTCTGTGAAGGACTTTTCTAAGCACAGCAGAACCCGGTGCATTTCAAGGACTGAAATAAGAAGGGCTGACAGCATGACTTCTGAGGACCAAGAACCCGAGCGGGACTATGAGAACGAGTCTGAGTCTTCAGAGCCCAAGCTCGGGGAGGAATCCATGGAAGGGGACGAGCACCTGCACGGTGAGGTGAGCGACAAAGTCCTGATGAACAGCGAGAGGCCAGATGAGAACCACAGTGAGCCCTCGCACCAGGATGTCATCAAGGTGAAGGAGGAGTTCACGGATCCCACCTACGACATGTTCTACATGAGCCAGTACGGGCTGTACAACGGCGGGGGGCCCGGCATGGCAGCCCTGCATGAGAGTTTCACGTCATCTCTGAACTATGGCAGCCCTCAGAAGTTCTCCCCAGAAGGTGACCTGTGTTCTAGCCCAGACCCCAAAATCTGTTATGTGTGCAAGAAGAGTTTCAAAAGCTCCTACAGCGTGAAGCTTCACTACCGGAACGTTCACTTAAAAGAGATGCACGTCTGCACGGTGGCCGGCTGCAACGCTGCCTTCCCCTCTCGCCGGAGCAGAGACAGGTCAGTAAATCTCCATTGGCTGCTCTTGCGGGGGTGGAGGGTGCCGGTCATGTTGGCCTTTAAACGTTAAACAATGCAACCTAGATGTTTTTGATGCACTGTAGAGATTGTCCACAGTGACCACGTGATACCCCAGCTGCCATGCTCGTGAGGGATTGTTGCAGTTGGTGCTTGTTATGATTAAGCATGCAGACTCATATGCCATCTTACCCAGTAATGCACGCCATTTTTCTCTGTGCTCTGTGTATGTGTGTGTATTTCCATGCATCTAGGTGTGAATAAGTTAACTGTACACAGTTCCCTGCTTCCCCGTGAACCTTCACTTAGAAGCCGCAGCTTCTGTATATATATTTTTCTGCTTTGCCTTGTGGCTTTTTAATTAAATCAATATATTATCTTCATACACACATATTTATCCAATATAGAAACAGAAATTTACGGATGGAAAGAACCATAGGTCCAGGACATCGAGACAGCCTGCATCTCCGTAGGTATAACCAGAAATGTTATCGTTCTTACATGAGTATTTAGTGTGTCCTTGAATTCTTTAAGGGTTGTAAAAATATTGCAAGAAAATGGGACCCAAGTAATTGTTGGTATGGGGAAATGTGATGGCAATGTGGGTTACTTGTATTTTAACTTCACTGTGTCTTTGGGCACGTCTCTAAAATATAGTCTGTTGTGGGAATTATGCATGGAAGGGGAGGTGTGCGTATACTTTGAGGATCAGTTAGAATATATTATGTCCAGCCTTCAGATGACATCACACCTCAGCTATGTAGCTGCAGCTCTGAAACAGTTGGGCTTAAACAGAAGCAGCTGGTTTTAAACTTACAATGTTCTTTTTCAGTCTTAAAGAAAATGTAATATAAATGGAATGTGTCAAGGTGGTCAATGGTGGGGTAACACGGTTGTCCTAACCTTGTGGAGATAAGCTTGTGAGCAGATCATTCTACATGATACACCAGTCCGCCTAGAGTGAGTGCTTCCCATTCTATCAAATACGGTTTTTTGGTTTTACACTGTTTTTTAAAAAGATTTTTGGAGAAACTTTTTTTACACTGTAAAAAAAAAACCCAATATATATAGAAGAAACAAAATTAACTAGTTTCCAAGTAGCCATCACCCAAATTCTAGTGTTTACCAGTTGGGTGGAGTTCTTTGACAAAGTAACGTGTAATAGAAGTGCACCAAAACCATAGTGCTCTGCCTGTAGAATGCTCAGTTTTCCCTTCATATTTAAAAGATTAATCCTTTTAAACATAAAAGTTAAAAATACATATATTTTCCTTTCTGCTAAAATACAAGGGGCCTAATGCATGAAAAGCAAAATCTCAGAAAAAAACTTAGTGGCTTTCTCTACACAATTGAAAACATACTTTGGAGAGAAGTCTTCTCTTAAAAATTACCCCCACTCTCCCCTCCAACCCCTTTACCTTGTTCTGTAAAGCTGTTTCATAGTCACCAAGTTATCACTGACAATCCCAGAATACGGCAGATAAGATAGCTATACTTTGAATCATAAAACAATACTGTACTCAACTCCCCACAACCAAGTTTGGGAGTAATATTCATTCTTTTAAATTTGAAATAGTGCACTTGTGATAATGAGGTTAATGCATTGGCTTTTTTTTTTAAACAAAAATAAGACTCATGGAAAGCTGCATAAAATATTTATGGAAATGGAGCGTTTGAAGACAAGCCAAAATTTAAACTTATTTGCATGAATTTCTACCACAGTTCTAGTCAGTTTGCTGAAAACACTGCAAGTCGTAACACTGGAATAAAGGTCCCTGGGACCACAGGCTGCAACACGCGAAGCTGGGTGATTGCATTTCTGTCAAGCCACCAGAAAATGCAAGCGCAGGTGTTGTCAGGTCCTAATGTGTAAGGAGGTGCTGGTGATAGGGTGCTGTGTCCGAGGAAAAAGATTTGTTGATAGTTGGAGATGATTTCAATCTCTAACTTTATTCCCAGTGTTGGGAATTTTGTGGGGGACCAGCCAGAGAGAAGGCTAGGCCAGTGTCCCGGGTGACTACGATACAGGATGTTCTAGGTGGGAAGTATAACAGATACTCTCCCTTGTGTGCTGGGTCACACAGGAGATTACAAACCTCAGAAGACAAGTGATGGCATTTCAGATGGGTGACATAGCACATCACGCCTAATCTTCTTCATGCTGGGGTTTTGTTGTGTACAGTAAAACAAACTGAAAAAAAACTGTACAAGAAAAGGTTTTTGATTCCCACTTGAAATGCTGCTTTTTAAGAATACTCAAGTCTTTTGACCTCGGGTTAAAAGCTTAGAAGGAAAAAGTCAAAGTAGCAAGAGTTTTTGTCTGTGACTCGAGTTACCATCTAAGTATAGCACAGCTACCTCCGCGTAACCAGAAACAGTGATGCCGATGGGGTACCAGCCTCTTTCTGCATCTCAGGAAACATAACTGTACTATAATTATACTCCTGTTTCAGCCCTTTATTGTCATTTCATTAGCTGATGTCAACCTGTAATTTAATCTCCTCATTCACAAAGCCCCTTGCATCTCATCTCTGATCCACCCAGTGGACTTGTCCTCCCAGTGGACTTATCCTCCCCTTTCTCTTCACTTTTACTGGATCAGTCATGAGAACGCCAGGAATTTTGTGTCCCTGCCTCTTCCTCTTCAGTTCCCTGTGAAGCTAGGACAGGTTTTCTTACTTTTCCCTGAGCCAGCATACCCTCCTGGACAGAAGCCCCCTTTGCCTTTACTTTCACTGCCCTGAGGCCCATTTCTCTCCTCTCCCCAGAGTGTCAGTTCATCCACTCTGGACTCCACAGCATCTTCCTTGTGCAAATAAAGCATTCGAGGGCATTCTGAGTAGGAGCCGAAGGACGCAAGCCTACGGGGTTGCTGGGGCACCTGTGATAAAGCTAACAGAATGACCCTCGTCCTATGACAGTGAGAGCAGCCTTCTTGTCCTGGGGCTCAACACCCACAGGAATGAGACTCAGGTCTTCCTGGGCTTCTTCCAAGATGACGCTACAGGAGGGCATTGCATTTTCTGTCTCAGGTAGGCAACTAGAACAATGAAGGAAGAAAGCCGTGGAACGCTGTTTTAGATTGGGCACTTAGCGGAGATTTCTGGGTCTTTGCTTATGGTCTTTCTAGGATTTATAAGATCAGGTTGAAGGCTTTTAGAAAAGCAAGAGATGTTCTTTGTCTAAAGTCACGAAAAGGGAGATGAGAGACAAAGTGGGGCACAGGCAGAGCTGGTGAGGGCGGAGGAGTCTGCACGCGGGGTCAGAGGTATTACCATGCTTTTCTGTGCAGTCTTGAATGGCTGTGACGTTAATAAATTCAAAAGCAGAGAAGACCATTCCTAACACTAATGACAAAGAACAAGCTAACGTACACGAACTCCAATTCATCTGGTCATTAGGAGGCTATAAGAATAATTCTTATTCCAAGTTACAGAAGTAAAGTGTAAGTTACTTTCCCTGTGAAGAACTACAGTACCGTAAGGTGGTGGCTAATGTGTTTTCGTGTATCCGGACAACAGTGTGCGCAGTGCTACGCCTGCCAGTCTCTAAACACCCTTACTTCTTTCTTGTTTGTCCCTTGATTTTCCTGCTATAAAGGGGCTGCTCTGTCAGGGAACAGGAAGCTGGCCCTCTGTTTTGAAGTACATATATGAAAATACTCCTGGGAGGAAGAAATTCTAAGGAACTGGCCTAGAACCTACAGTCTTCACAAAGGGCATCTTCTTGAAGACAGTGTCATAGAATTAGCTGGACCTGGTTTACCTTTGGTCATTTCTCATCTTCTGCCTTGAATTTTGATCCCCAGGAGGACTGAGTGGCTGTGGATCACCCATATATAAGGGAGGCCCATTTATAAATTACAGTTGGTTTTTATTCAGGGGGAAAAACTTCTGTCCTTTTCCCTAAAATTCCTTATCATTGGCTAATATATTAAAACTCTATTTATATCTGCTTTAATGATTGGCAGTTTTAAAACTCCCTTCATTACAATGAAGACTTTGTTCACAGAAACTAGATGATCTGCATTGAAAGAAATATTTATGTCTTTGTTTTTCATCTTACGTGAGTTACACCATCTTCGTTCCTCGCTTCCTCTGAGAATAGGGGCCCCTGATGGCCAAAGTTTGTCTTAAATGTTATCGGAAAGGTAAGCTTGTATGTTAGAGCTTTGAGGTGCAGGCAAGGTGATTAAGCCCATCGAATAAATTTTAAAACCAAATAATATTTGCTTAGTGTGATTTATAAGTAAATAAGAGGCAACCATTGGTGCCAAGTGTGAACCTTCTCTTTGATTGCTAGTTAAATCCATCCAGACTTAACATGTAAACTTCTTGATTTGTATGGAGAAAGACATCTGTATTTGGTTTATTAAAACCTGCTGATGTCTCCAGAACTAAATTTGTTCCTATACAGGCCTCTGGGTAGCTGTAGCTAAAAAGCAGAGACATATAGTTTTTGCTTGTCTGATTACCTGATTGCTCCTGCCCTGTACAGGTGTGCAGGAATAAATTAACATGAGCTCCCTCCTCCCTCTGATGAGCCACTGCATACATTAACAACAGAGGTGAAGACGTGAAAACATGCTACCTGCCTCGTGTTAACACCTTCTTAGCAGCAACATCCATTTTTTCCATCATTCTCTATGTTTGGAAACTTAGAACTTTTCTAAAGAGAGATTTTCAATAATCCACATGGTTTCACCAGGCAATACCTCTAAGAAATGATCCACTTAGCACCAGTTTAGGGTAACTATTAGCATATTTGCCCTAATATAATTAGCTGTCAAATACAGTGTTAATCCTCTCCAGGTACAGACAGAGAGCATTCTAAGGCATCGGCCATTTCATTTCCTATATTTTTGCCAATCAGTTTCTCCTTTTCCAAAATTCTTTTAAAAAGTGAAGTTGTGCAGGTCCTCTGACTTTTAAAGGAAGAGATTTTTTTCCCCCCGTTACTCTATTTGGTTTCACAGTACGGCTGGCAGATCAATAGGTCTTTTGTACTTATCTCCATTACTTTCCATCAAAGGCAAACAAACAAAATAAATCCCCCTTCTGAGTAATTGTGAGTTGTGCCCTCCTCAAGCGAAACTTTGGTAGTAAGATAAACTTCGGTGTCATCCCTGTCTCTGGGGTTCCTTTTATATACTGGGAGAAGAGCAATGAGCAAAACGGTCTCCTTGTATCATGGGGAGAGACTCTGTCAAGCCTAAAGTGAACCTCGGCTCTTCCTAATGACCTCCTGCTGGCCCAGCTGGATGTAAGACAAGCTCATTTAAGCCTCTGCTGACCTTTCACTCCTTCAGTCCTAGAGCTGCACCAGTCCCTTCCCCCAAACCGCGTACCAGACAGACAACAGAGCTTAATCGCGGGGCAAAGGACTTCCTTCTCATGATACACAGAAATTTTTACAAATTTCTATCAACAGGAGTAGCATGCAGTCTCTCATGGCTACATAAGTTTCACTGCAC